ATGCCGCAGCAGATGCTATCAAGAAGGTGAAGGCTGCTGCGCAGAGGTGGAGAGTGGGCGTGAACCGAAAGTTCTACGCCGAGATAATGGAGGAGAGTTTTTCGCTGCGAAATTTGCTCGCTTATTGTGCCAATGAAGGAGTCAAAAGGCATTACGATGCTCCTCATTCACCACAATGAGAATGGCGTGGTGGAGCGTAGAAATCAAACCGTGGTGGCCATGGCACGTGCCTTACTCAAGCGGCGCCAGGATGCCACCCAAGTTTTGGGGGAGGCGATGATGATACTGCATGTGCATATTCTGAATCGGTCACCAACCAAGGCTCTAGGTGATGTCACTCCCTATGAAGCATGGCATGGCCGAGCACCCATCAAGGCCATCCGAAGGTGTTTGGTTGTGTGGCATATACTGCGCCGTTTGTCTCATTTCGAAAAACTTGATGATCGTGGTGAAGCCGGAGTATTTATTGGCTATCTTTCAAGGAGCAAAAGCCTATCGAGTTTTTGATCCAAAGATCTCAAATGTACGTGTCGGTACCGAGATGTGGTTTTGATGAAGGAAGAGGTTGGGATTGGACATCACCAAAGCAGCAGTGCGTCTGGGGCAGCCGGTAGTGATTTTGTGGTGGAATTTCCTTGGGAGGAAGAAGTCCTCGAGTCGGAGGTTCAAGTCAGATCACACTCATCTCCTCACCCCATTCTCGCCTCACTGAAGCTTTCCAAAGAAGAATCGGTGCTTGATGCAGGGAGAAGAGGTGTCTGAGACATCCGAACGCCTTCACCATCACTACTCCAGCCAATTTGCACAAGTGGAGCACGTGACTCCTTGGAAGATGATGAGGCAACGGCCGGATACTTATCACAACGACGACAAAACAGCGCTTATCGTACCATAGATGGCATATTGGGCGGGGAACAGGAAGTTCCGCCCGCCAGCAGCAGCTTGTTCGCAGAGCTCCACCTCACCCACTGGGAACCCATTTCTTATGCAGAGGCAAAGATGATCCTGCATGGCAAAAACAATGAAAGAGGAGTCACAATTGTTGAGCGCAATGGCACACTGGGAGCTTGTGTCTCCCCGAGTGGCCATCGGCCAATTTCTCTAAAATGGGTCTACAAGTCAAGAAAGATGAGAAAGGAGATGTGATCAAGCACAAGGCTCGGCTTGTTGCTCGTGGGTTTGTGCAAGACAAGAGGGTGTTGATTATGAGGATGTGTTCGCTCTCATGTTGCGGCGCATAGAATCAAGTGAGACTAACGCTTGCTCTAGCTGCCCAGAAGGATGGACTGTTCATCATATGGATGTCAAGTCGACTTTTCTAAATGGAGAGCTCAAGGAAGAAGTATATGTCCAAAGACCACACAGGTTTGCTATTCTCGGGGAAGAAAGCAAGGTATATCGCTTTGCACAAAAGCTTTGTATGGGTCAAGCAGGCACCTGTATGTGGAACGCTAAGTTGGACTCTACTACTCAAGGAAATGGGGTTCAAACAGAGCAAACATGAAGCAACAATTTACTGTGAAAGGTTCGTGAGGGCTCGGTGTTGTCTTTGGTTGGGGTCTATGTTGATGATCTCGATCATCACTTTGGAGCGATCAAAAGATGAAGTAAAGGCTTTCAAGGAAAGGATGAAATCCACCTTTGAGATGAGTGACTTGGGTTTGCTCGGGCTTCTACCTTGGCATTGAAGTGCAACAAGGCAAGAATGGGACCACCATGAGGCGGACTCACTATGCCAAGAAAATCCTAGAACTGGGAAGCATGTCTGATTGCAATCCAAAGCAGCTACACCAATGGAAGAGCGCTGGCTCAAAGCAAGCATAGCACTTTGCCAAGGAGGTGAATCCAACTCAAGATATAGGAGGTCAAGTTGGAAGCTTGAGATACCGGTTCATACCAGCCCTGATTTAGCTTTCTCGATGGGCTATGTGAGCAGATTCTTGGAGAAACCGACCACCGAGAGCACCAGCAAGCGATCAAGAGGGTGCCGAGGTACTTGGTCGAACATTGGACTATGGTCTGCAGTTCAAAAGAGCCCCAAATTCTGCTAGGTTTGTGGGCTCTCGTGATTCGCACCTAGCCGGTGATATTGACTCCAGCAAAAGCACAACAGTTTGTCTGTTCTTCTTTGGCAACAGCTTTGGTCACCGGCAATCTATCAAGCGAGGGGTGGTGGCTTTGTCTAGTTGTGAGGCTGAATATGTGGCTATGACTTCAGCAGCAACACAAGCCCTGTGGGCTGCAAGATTGTTGGCTGATTTGTTGGGAAGAAAGGTGGAGACTGTGGGCGAGGGTTGACAACAAGTCTGCAATTGCACTTGCTAAGAACCCCGCCTTCCATGACAGAGCAAACATATCGAGTTAAGCAACATTTTATCGTGGATTGTATTGAAGAAGGCAGCATCGTGATCGAGTACATCCCTACAAATTGATCAATTGGCGTACATTCTCACTAAGGCTTTGGGCAAGGCCAAGCTTGAAGATATGAGAAGCGAATTGGCATCAAGCGAGATCAAGAAGGGTTGAAGCAGGTCTTAGGGGAGAATCAGAGCTGTAAGCCCTGCTTCCCAGGCACATTTAGTGTATTTAAGTTTTTAGTTAATCTATGTCATTAAGTCCTTGGGTAGCCCAAGAGTTGTGCGGGTACCCAGGCAGATATTCTGTCTAGTTAAAGCTCTAGTGAGCTGTATGTAATCAATGCAGTACTTATCCTCTATATATTGCAATGCAGTCGCCTGGGAGAGTAGCCCTGGCTGATTATTTCTCTGTTAACTCCAACAATAACGGTGGCATAGAACTCTGCTATATAGACACAACAGTACACCACTTCATTTTAACTTCTGTCATGCTTGATCAAACTATGTACTGACGTGTTACCAAATGATTTCCATGTGTTAATATGTTCCATCCCTTATGATTGATGGCAGATGGGTGGTTGAGAATCAGGTTGGCAAGAAGACCCTCGCTATTGATGATTGTGATTCCAGACAATCTGTCTATGTGTATGGATGCAAGGATTCTGTCCTTCAAGTAAACGGTAATGTATCTTAGTTTGAATGTTCACCTTTCTCTCTTTTGGTAACAAAAATCTCATAAACTTTTACAGGCAAGGTTAACAATATCACTGTTGACAAATGCACTAAATTTGGAATCGTTTTCAAGGTTAGTTTAAATTGTTCAAGTCCATGAGGTCCTCGCCTATTTTGTCGTATCATCCTAGCAACAAATATTTTAGCTACTATGTATTTCAGGATGTTGTAGCAGCTTTTGAGGTTGTCAACTGCAATGGCGTTGAGGTCCAATGTCAGGTATTTTATTTTTTGTGTATGTATATCTATTTTCCTTTTCATTATTTGGTATATTTTCTTGCATTGTTTCCTCTGGATCTGCTCTTTTATCCTTTATAAGCAGATGTCTAGTCAGTCCATTGTATGTGAGTGTTTGATTTGATTGTTGACCTATTTATGATCTTTAAAGTAGCTCCTTGAAGTATGGTGTGATGACTTCCTTATTATTAATTCTTCAATCCAGAGCACTCAAATGCCTTTATAATCTTGATTATAATTTTGTGCTGTTTTCTTTTGAATTTATTATGTTTACAAATTTCAAGAATTTGAAATTGTCCAGAGTTTTATAATTCTCTTTGATATAACTGACATACTAACAAGGTCACTATTTGAATGTACAATTTGTTACATTTCAAACTTGTATTTTTGTCAAAAGACTGAATTCCCGGTATTTTTTTCTCTCAGGGTACGGCACCGACAATATCAATTGACAACACATCTGGATGTCAATTATACTTAAGCAAAGATTCGCTGGGAGCTTCAATTACTTCTGCAAAATCTAGTGAAATCAATGTGATGGTTCCAAGTGGTGGCACTGACGGTGATTGGGTAAGATCTGCACCTTACATTTGTACTTTTGGATGTATAAGAAAACTTAATGCAGTAACAAATGGTTGGAGGAAAAGAATTTTGGCAATATGTTACATTTTGCAGAGCTTTTAGGCCCATAAATGATAAATTGATATACCACTGATGTGCGAATACTGATAGTTATATTATTGTGACTTCCTAGTTATGCACAAATAGAGTGAATGACTAAGTTTATCGTCTCAACCTGTTTTTATTATGAATTGATGCCAGATTTAAGATGCTAGAATATGTTACCTCCTTTTCCCCACATTTGTCTCTGTCACTGCGGTACCAGTAGTATCTTTTTGCATATTACTTGAGGTGTTAGTACTTGGTATACTATATGCATGCATGGCATTTAACTTGGCAATTTTAGTTAGCAATTTTTATGTCAAGTTTCACCTTTTATTTATTTAATCAGCATCCTAGATTTTCGCACTCTGTGAGTCTGTAATTTATGATCGATTGGCATATGACATATCTCTGTTTCTGTAAGTATATCAACTATCAAACACTTGCACGTAACTTGAGTTCTCATGTTGTAGGTGGAGCACGCATTGCCTCAGCAGTACATCCATAGTTTCAAGGATGGGCAATTCACCACTTCACCAGTTTCACACTCGGGAGCGTAAATACAATTGTTACTGCTGTTGTTGTGTGTGTTTGTTTGACTCCCGCCTTTGCCTTGTTTTTGAAGATGATGGTATGCTGAGGTTTGTAACAATTTTGGGTCTTGCAGCACTGGACTCGGTCTGCGATTGTTGTTTTTGTTGCCCTTGCTCAGTGCGCGCTGTGTATGGTCTGCATGCACGTGGTTCCGTTCGGTTTGTGTATTTGTGTGCCAACAAACCACTATACGTGGTGTGTATGTCTTAGCTGATCATTCTTTGACACTGAATCTCACTATATTTGAATTGATGTGGATGCTTGCTTTTTCGAGTCTCTTTTCAGATGTTTAACAAAGTAGCAATGGCAATGCAGTTATCGTACTTGAAATCTCGACGCTGTGCTTGGATCGTGAAACACGTACTGGATTACGAAAGGCGGCGTGATACATTAGCCGGAAAAAGCATAAACAAAAGATCATATAAACATCTGCAAAGCTACGAACCAAAAGCCAGCAATAACAGGCAGCATTGAGGAAGTGCGAGACGATTCAGCAGCATTAGGATGAACGCAAGCGGTGGTGGTGGTCCCTCTCGACGTAGCCGTCCCTGGCCCCGGCGTGCAGAGGCCGGAAGGCCCAGCTGCCGCCGTCGAGCCCTGCTGCCCTGGAGTCACCTGCACCGACGGAGGCACTCTCATCAGAAGTTCAGCAAGAAGCCAGAACCAGGAAGAAGCAGCAACAACAGCTTGTAATTGCACTAAACAAACCCCACCTGTGGCTGCTGCCCTGGGGTTGGCTTTAGCGCTGGGGCGGACGTCGTTGGCGCCGCAGCCGGCGCCGTGGCTGGTATCAGTCCGGCCGTGCCGTTCCTGAGCAACCCCGTCGGATACGTCTCGGTGAGGCTGGTCTGGAACAGCCCGAAGTAGCGCTCCGACGCCTTGCCCGGCTTGAGGTCCTCGTCGTACATGGCAAAGATGTACGTCTCCACCGACTTGCCGGGCGCGCGCGGCGTGCCGGCCAGAGAGCTGAGGTGGGACACGAGGCCCGACACGAAGGCGCGCGCGTTCTCCACCGTGGCGCCGGCCTCGTCGGGGTCGCCCTTGTGCGGCCACCCGGTCTCGGCCACCACGATCTCCACGTCCTTGTACCCCTTGGCGTCCAGCGCGGCGCGCACGGCGTCGACCTGCGCGTCGAACATGTTGGTGTACCTGAGCCCGGACCCGGCGTCCGGGCGGCCGGCGTTGGGCTGGAACAGGCAGAAGGCCAGCGTCTCCGGCCGCGGATCGCTGAGGTACGCGAAGTAAGGGTACGGGTTGATAAGGAACGGCGAGCCGGTCTTGCTCAGGAACGCCAGCAGCGGGTCGAGCGCCGCCGCGAGCTCCGGCTTGAACGCGCCGGAGGAGGGCGGGTCGGAGCTCGCGAGCACGTCCATGGCGTTCACGGTGGAGACCTTGACGCTGGAGTTGGGCGGCAGCGCGTCGTACAGGTTCTGCATGGCCGGGACGAGCTGCGAGGCGAGCGAGGCGTCGGCGAAGAGGACCTCGTTGCCGACGGAGACGGTAGAGACGGCCGGCGACGAGGCGGGCAGGTGCGCGGCGACCCAGGCCGCGGCAGCGGCGGGCGAGGACGCGAGGTTAGCGATGTCGCCGTTGGTGGCGCCGAGGAGGAGCGAGATGCCTGTGCCGGCGAAGGCGGAGATGATGGCCGGGTCCGTCCCGTAGAGGCGCACCTTGGTGATGGTTGTGGACCGGAGGAGACGCGCCGTGGACGACGGCGGAGGGAGGTTGTCGGCCACTTCGCCGTAGTTGATGCCGATGAAGGACTGCGACGCTGCAAGCACGTGTGCCTTAGGTTACTGTAGTAGTACTCATCAATCTACGGGGTTTCATAAAAGTTAGACATTTCTTTTCAAAATTCCCGCGCTCCAAACACCTCAAATTAAACACTAGGAGTAGGGAAAATGCAGAGATCAAATCACAAATAAGGCTCGACTTTCAAACTTGACACGTCGAAGGTGAAATAGGACTAAGTGCATCTGACAAAACTGGAGAACTGTATCTGTATGTAATTAGCTGCAGGTGTCACCGTGTGTCCGTGTCACCGCACGGCGCTACAGCCTACATGTCGCCGTCGCCTGATAGCATGTTGACACCTTGACGGTGGGCATGGATTCGTGTGGTTCAGAAAGCTCCAGAGAATGCAGATAATACAGCTCATTGTACACGGGCATTTGCTCCTTTCACTGTCAGACAAGGAACGGAGAAAGCCGTATGGAGGAGTCCAGACCAGACAGCTGTAGTCTGAAATGTTTGATGCGGGGAAAGAATAGCGTAGAGCAACAACTCAAGAAGAGATTCAGCCAAAGGAAATTGGATGATGCCACTATTTCTATTTTGTAACCGGCAACCTCCAAACCAACTCGAATCACGCTATATTTCTCTTTGGGCCTGAATTTTGCGACTGGCAACCAACATCCGGAGTAGTAGCTCAGTTCAATTTCCACAAGAAAAAAAAAGAAAGGTACAATCAAGTGTTTCAGCAAAGAACAGAGCTCTGACGAACCGACAAGAGTCGGAACGAAGCCGAAGACCCTCACCTGCCAAAGGTAGAAGAGGAACGAGGTGCAGGACTCCGAAAAGCACAAGCAGCAGAAGCTCTCTTCTCTCCGTCATCTCCAGAGCTCCTCTGACCCTCACACACACAATCAGAGAGAGAGAGGTGCACGAACTGATGAGACTCCGCGCCTCTCACAGGCGCCCTGCAGCTTCTTATTCTAATAAGGGGCTTCCCGCGCCCTCCCTTTTCCCGGCAGACTGCGGCGAGCCAACCCTGGTCGGACTCGGGCCTCCCCCGGTTGCTTAGCGAGGAAGAGAACAGTCACAGAGGTGGCGCTCTCCCTCCGTGCCTTTTGCGGAGCAATAACAGCAACTTAAACAAGACCGTGTGTAATAAAGCTCTCGCTAAAACGGGTGGAAAAGCCGATGGACGGATGACCAAAGCGCTAAAGCCTAAAGCACCCTCCGCCTCTGCTAGAAACAAGAGGCTTTGAAGGCACTGTTTGGTTACCCATCCTAAAAGTCTTACGAGCTAAAATTTGGATAGAATTTGTCTAAAGAATCGAACACCTCCTCCTAAAAACTTCTAAAAACTTTATGAAGGGCAAAAAACTTTAGGAGTGTCACCCCCTCCTAAAAGCTCCTAAAGTCCATCCTGGACCCCCACTACCCCTCCTTTATTGTCCTGCCTCCCCTCTCTCTCTCCCACCCTCCCTCCCACCCGCGCCTCCCTCTTGCGGCCCCTACCCTCCACCGACGGATCCCCGCCTCCGCCACCCGCCGGGATCTCCTCTCCCGCGTGGCGCCCGCCGGATCCGTCTCCCGCGCCCTGCCCGCCCACGCCTCCGGCCTCACCTCGCCGGATCTGTCGGCCCCAAACCGGTCCGCCGTTCCTTCGCGCTGGACCTGGAGATGGCGGCGGCGCTGCTCGCCTCCATGTACCCTCCGTCTTCCCCGCCGCCATGGGGCCTGAGTCGGCGCCGCCCCTCTGACCTCCTCCCGTCGTTCCCCGTCCTCGACCCTCGCGCCGCCGGATCCGCCGGCCCCGCCGCCACCAGTGCTCCGCCGCCCGTGCTCCCCGATGGGCTGGGGGAAGGCCGCGACCAAGACGAGGCGGCGGCGCGTGGTGAAGCTGCTCACGCTCCCGTCCATCGAGATGGCCACATCCGCGAAGAGCTGCATGGTCTATTTGCTAGTGTATTTATTACTTTTAGTCAGTTTTAGGAGATGGAACCAAACAATTTTTAGGAGGTTTTGACAGCCTCATAAAAGCTTCTAAAACTTTTAGCTCCTAAAAATTTTAGGAGCTCGGAACAAAACAGGGCCTAACTGTATGCCATTATAAAAGACTGTAATTGCCTACAAGTCACTAAAAAGTTCAAGGTCATAGATGTCACTGCTCAAAACTTTTTTGTCAAGTCCACGCCATTCCGTCGACATCTGCTACTAACGGTGTCAAATGGAGCTGAGAAAAGTCAAAACTGCCCTCTGGCTAGAGTACCTTGCCGAAAGTTGCGTTTTCCTCCCGTGCCACTCCCTAGTCCTGTGGCTTTAGCATTCGTCTGGCAGTGTCAACTTGGAGCTTAATTAGCCACTAATCTGAAGCGCAAATGACCCTGAGCCCTTAATAAAAGTCGTAGAGCTTAGGGGGAATGACAACTTTGTTGCAGCGGTCCAGACCGAATCAAAGTGAAATATGCCACAAATGAGATTCCAATATGCCTACTCGGACGTCTGACCCAAAGGATTATCCACGTACAGCATAGAAGATCACCAAATAGCAGACGTGTTTGGATACCCAGGCTCACTCACAAGTACAGTAAAGCCTACTATGCTTTTACAAATCAAGCAAGTTTTGCTTTATATTAACAATTTTATAGCACCATAGAACCGATGCCCTCGGTACTGCTTTGCAAATCAGAATAAATCCCCTTTTTCTGAGGATCCTCTCACTGTAGATTAGCCTGCAGGAGGCCATCTCTTATATGTGCCGCTACATCCTTGACAGCTCCAGGACCATGGGGGATGAACACTGAAGAGGACTTGGAGGTGGCCCCAATCTCCTTCATGGTGTCGAAGTACTGGACTACTGGGTGACCAGGACCATGTCCATGATGTCCTTAGCTGTGTTGCCTGGAACCTTCTTTGAGAAGGCGGGCACACTGTCCCTCAGCCCGTCCACAATGGCATGACGCTGTCTTGCAATACCCACGCCAGCTAGCCAGGCACTTGGATTCCGCCTCTCCTTCGGCTTTGTTGATCTGGAGTATGTTCTCAGCCGCAGCACCAAACCAGCCCCGCTGTCGTGTTCGCCGCATCATCCTCCACGCACGGCGCAAGCTCGCCGAGCTGGGTGGCGTCAGGGGCCAACGAATGCCGCCGCCGGCCGCAGCCAGTGCACCACCGAGAGCTCGCTCCTCCAAGCCTCCTCCACCCTGATTGGCTGCTCCCTCGCCTTCCCCATCTCCCTGCGCGTGCGTCGCTCTCCGTTCCTGTTCGCCACTGACGCCGGAACACCTCGGGCCGCCACTGGTCTGCTCTCCGCCGTGCCACAAGCTCGCGTGGCCAGGAGGCCACGGCCGTCACAGCGCGAGCTGAGATCCCTCGCGGGTGTGGCCTACTGCCACGCGCGCCGCAGCGGCCTCGCCCCCACGACCGCTAGCCGCCATCGGGCGGGATTTGGCAAGCCGAGCCCGATCCCCTGCCGCTGCGTCTGTTGAAGAAGAAGGACGAGCCTGCAATAGAAACGATGGCATGAGCGAGCAGGCGCTCGGCTCAAGCAGGCGGCGGCGGCTCTAGCAAACGACGACCAGAGCGAGCAGGGCCGTGGCGCGCGCGAGCAAGCGGCGGTGGGGCAGCGGCGTGGCCCGGCGAGAAGCATTCAGCGGAGGGCAGTGCGGGAGGAGGCGGTCGGGGTGGGCTAGCACGGGGCAAGGGCGTGGCCCCGCCGGGCGGAGGATGGCGCGAGAGGATGCTACGGGTGGCCAGGTGGATCGGGTGAAGGAGAAGAGGAAGGAGAGGATAAGGTACGGACGGAGATGGACATTTTGGACATCTTTACTGACCGGACCTACATGTCAAAGCAGCTAAACGGTGAAAATTGGACGGAAGATGGACGGAATGGCGTGGACGATAAAAAAGTTTCGGTCAGTGGGACATGTGACCGCGTAAACCTTTTAGTGGCTTACAGATAATTACAATCTTTTATAATCATATAGCGGTAAATGCCTCCAGAAACAAAGCCGCACTCGCGTCCAGGCTTTAGAACGGCGAGCGGAGCCGCCGCCCGGTTTGAACTGTGCGGCGACCAGCGAGCGAGGTAGGTAGCCTGTAGAAGGATGGCGAGGGAGCACAGGTGATTTGCATTGCAGCGACTCACGTGGTGTTTATATAAAGCAAGCGCATGGTGAGTAATCCTTGAGATAAAAGTATTTCGTATCAGACAGACAGATTACGATCAATCATCGAGATCCTAACAAATTCTATTTACCATAGGCTCCATAGCATCGACGGTCCTTCCATACACACACATAGAATTACCAACTGTAAAGAGATCAATGAGGGTTCATTTTGAGCAAGATTTGATGCTCTGGATCAAGGAATGCCAAAGCGAGACCCTCCGCTGGATTTGGATGGGCCACGGGTGTCGACGGCAAGATTTGACCCGATTACCTTTCTTTGTGCCCCCCCAATCACCCCGGCGGCCGCACTAAGAAATTGTACGGAGTACACAAAAAGAACCGGTGGTGGTGGATGGTGATACAGAGAAGCTTTTATATTACTGTGTTCCTAGGAGCATATTTAGGAGACTCTACATATTCTTGCTAAATACTAGGAATAGAGATTTTGATAAAAAATTACCCTCCAACAGCTTTTCTAAATGATCATCCAAATGTAGCCATCTTTTATTTCGAATTTTTCGCTAACCAAAAATAGAAGACGAGAATGACTCTCAAGAGTACGTATGAGATATAGATAAAATGTTAGAGAGAAAAAATATATAGAAAACGATTTTTAAGCAAATGACTCTCTAAATAATGATTTAGAAATTGACATTTAGAAAGGCTCGAGGATCTCGCGCCGACTATTTTTGGCTAAGGAAAATAACGACGAGCACAAATGCACAGATTGCCTGGGAGATGGGTGGGGCTGGTACGGTGGTACCTGGTAGGATAGGATGGAAAGGTTCAGCATGGCCGCCATAGTTTAGCTTGCCGTGCTGAGCTTGGACTATGGAATGCCAGTCGGGATGGACTTCTGCTTAACTAGTGGCACGGCGAGCACGCCAACACATGTACGCGGTGATAGGTGAGAGGATTGCCGTTTTCTTTTCTCTGTTTTCATCTTTCATTTTTTAGGATAAAAATTTTGTAGGAATTGATAAGGTTAAAATTTCAAAATAAAAAGTTAGATTCATTATGTCATATAAGATAGGGTTGCAACAAGGCTCACTATAGTTTAAGCGAAGGTAAGGCATGCACAGATAAAATTTTGGGATATTGATGAAAAACATTTTATTTGAATATCCTTTTCGCAAATAGTTTCACTTCTTATTTTATAATTGTCTTCCCCTTTACTCTACCTATTAGCATGAACTCCAATCCGAACTTAGAGCTACAATCATCTTTCTTGTGTCTTCTTTTATCTATTACTATGTCATGGCTATGCAACTTTAGCTGAGGCCAAAATCAAATAGCCTTCGGTCTCATCTTGGTGAGCTCCATTGGCGATAAAATCAATTTTCAAGTCTTCATCTAGTTCCTTAGTTTTCTTATAGATTTAAATTTGAGATGATTGCATCTTCTATTATGGATCTTTACCTTTTTTTTCCTAGGCATTCACTAGGAGCCTGACACCATCGTTTAGTTTCCCGTAATCACGAGTTAGTTTAATAGATAACTTATATACTGAGATATTCATGTGGTTGTCTAGTAGCAACCCACAATTCTCCATTTATATCTAATTCGGTTATAATATTTTTCTTGCCATATTGGATATGAATTGAATTGAGTTATTTATTAATTGTATTGATATGGATACTCTATTTATTCTTGATCATTAGATCATCATAAAATCCAACATTGCTATTTTTTTTCTTTTCTCTTATTAATATCATCATTTCTAGGCCTTTGTACTTGATATAGATATTCTATTTATTTTGTCCCACCGTAAAATCCAAAGGTGCATATTTTTTTTAATTTTTTGTTAATCCCAAAATTTCTGGGCCTTATATTTGACATGAATATTTTATTTTGTTCTCGACCATTAGATCATCGTGAAATTCAATGATATATATTTTTTCTGATCAATCTTGTCGGATACCACAAGAAGGGGTACCCTAAACAAGAACCGAAAATATTACTTAAGCTTTGCAAAAATCTAAGCCAAAGGACAACCACGAGGTCTCGGCGGATTCTCCGATTCGCCCGAGGCTGACGTCAAGGCCTCAGACGAAAGGCCAAAACTCTCCGCCCCATCGAGGCCCTCTCACCGAGGCCCCGCCCCGCAAGGCCTCGGACGAGATACCAATTCTCCGATTCGCCCGAGGCTGGGCTCGGCAAAAACCTCGTCACCTCCGTCCCGACCGACTCCCCTGACAAAACGTCACGTCCGAGTTAATCGCGCCTTCTCTACTCCTGCAAACGTCACCAGACATTAGGCGCGATCTGAGCAGAGTGACCGACGGACGGGGGGACCGGCGCAGTTAGGATTACCTACCATTGTGCTCATCATCATGCCCCCTCAACCGACACCCATACTGCCTGTGTTACCTAACTCCTGCGCCAAGGACAAAACGGCGTGGAGGGTCAAGTCCAGGTCCCTGTAGTCTCGGAATCAGCATGGAAGACCAACTGATCGCCTCCGCCTCGTCCGAGACCCCTCGGCAGGGCCTCGGACGTACTATTCCTTCTCCGCCTCGGCCTAGGCCGGGCTCGTCCCGCATCCTCGTTGCCTCTGCCTCAACCGTCCCTTTGGCGAGCCGTCCCATCCGCTTAAAGTGCGCCTGGTCACACCCTACTACGCCACCACGATCGGCGTGGTACAAAGAACATGGGCGATGGGACAATGGTCAAATCTCCTTTTTACCATCCCCACCGACGGTGCGGGGTTACCGTGTCTCAGGACACACGCTCCGCACTTTTCCACTGAACCAGTATCGACGCGACCACCGAGACCCCCGC